CCCTCCAAACTATGATCCCAAACTGAGTCACCAAGTCACCCCTCCAAACTGTGATCCCAAACTGAGTCACCAAGTCACCCCTCCAAACTGTGATCCCAAACTGAGTCACCAAGTCACCCCTCAAAACTGTGATCCCCACTGAGCCACCAAGTCACCCCTTGATCAGCATGTGTCAATTTGCTAATGACTTATTTGAAAAATATTATTGATATAAATATTATTTGAAAATGGAAATGACCTGCTGTGTTATTAATTAGGCCAGGAAGCATAATCATAAATCTTAAAATTAATTATAATTAAGAGCATTCTTGTTACATTTTAGGTGATGAAAGAACTCTTCACCCATCCCTCAGACCAGTGATCCCCAAACTGATGGTCCTCCAGGACCCCAACACAATCTACATTTTTTTGATCCCTTCCAGCTACCTCCCAATGCGGGGGGGCCCCAAGGACGCGATTGGCAAACGCTACCTTAGACCGATAGAATTCCTTTTGGAAGATAGCACTGTAATTGGCCAGATTTGAACCAATAGACACACAAGTGGCAGCCAGCATCGGGGAAGTTGCTCACAAAAGTGATCCATTACAGACAGAGATGGAGAGTTCAGGTCCAGAAAGTACAAATCCATGCCAAGGTTTTGTTTCAAGCAACCAGCTGAATACTCAGTGGCTGTGACTCTTTATACCTAACTGATTGGTTAGCATTTAAGCAACAGGCTATTGGCATGTATAGGGTGATCCGAGGAGCGTTGGATCACATCCCCCTATAAATGGGAACTAGACGCCCAGGGAGACGAACGCCGCTTGTTGTGCATTAATGCTGAGGTCCTGAGTGGTTAGGAGAGCGACTGCTGACCTCTGTGCTGAGCAAGAATCACGAGGGGGGGCAACCTTAAGTGGACGATCAGCCATCGCTTCCAGTCAGCAATTCACTTTCAGGCCTTCCATGGTACGCGGTGTTTTCTAGCGGGTTCCCCCCAGGCTGGGACATCGAGCCCCCGCTCCGTCACTCTGCTGTCACTTTCTAATTCTGTCGGATCCAATTAGTGTCTCTGCTGAAAACAAAATGGTTTACCTAATCTCCCCGGTGTCACCTTTTAATTCCTGAGACAGCCATATGACCCACATAACGAATTCCCACCCTCATCTCTTCAGGCACCCCCCCCACCCCTACCCTGGCCATCTTACTGCTCACCGCTCACACACCAGAACCACCAGAACGTTCTGTAACGTTCTGGAACTTTATGGGAATTACCCTCACGGGAAAGCAGTAGCGATGTTCATACATGAGTCATGAATCAGACATCGGGATGAAGTCAATCATGGCTTGAATCATGGAGAGCTTTTCCAGTGTTGGTCACCTGGGATAATTAATAAAAGGTAATACTGCCCAGTGCTGTCACTTATCTCCTTTTAAATGCGTCCGTTTGAACAACAATGAGGCAACACAAACATGCAGCTACTGAATGCAAACAGCTCCCTTCACATAAAGACTTTTCTAATTGCAGTAAAGCACAGGCATCGTCTGATGCAGATCTCCGCGGAGGCAATTAGTCATGATGAATTTTACTGATCCCTGGGGGGGATGATTTTGTCATCCAGCTGCCTCACAAAGATAAATTACAACACAACAGCCTCCCACCAAAGAAAATAAACAAATGGATAAATAAATAAAAGGACCATGTGCACAAATTCAGGAAAACATGGTACGAATGATGTAACACATGGTTAGTAAACATGACACGTGCATAATTTAGTGCGGGTGGAACAGTGGAGTGGTGAGTCAAAGAGAAAATGAGTCAGGGCTCAGTTAAATCCGTGGGTGGATGTGTTAGCGCTGTTCTTATGAGAATGTGACAACAGCCACAGGCCCTTCAGAAACAGGTGAAGCTGACAGGGCGGCTTCCACACAGGAGCCGAGAGGCTCAGCCTCTGGCTGCCGAGAAACAGGGTCCTTAAAACGGCGCGGACAGAAGAACAGAAACGCCACATCGAGACACTGGTCTTTGAAGTAGGTTGCAAAAACAATGACAAATAGCTACAAACAAAATGAACAGTTTTTCATTCCAGAAACGTTTACCGAATCTTACAGTCAAGTTATGGAAACTTCGAAAGTGTCCAGTTTTCGCGATGTTCCGAGAACGTTATCCCACTGCTACAACTAATAATAATAAAGCATAAACAAATAAAGGCCATGGTAATGCAGCAGGTATCCCTGTTTCTCTACACCTCAAAGGTCGTGGGTTTTAGGCTGGATGGTGTGTTTACAGTATACAAATACAACACTATTATAAACCAGTATTTTTTATTAAAAAACAATATTTTTCAACATTACTTTAAAAGGGTTTTCAGGTAATAATGTTATCATGCTAATAATCTAATAACGACAGAACCTTTATTAAAATGTAAAACGTAGAAATGCAGTCCATTAATGTTACTGCAAGAATATTCTCTACCAACTTTGAAAAGACTCTTACATAACGTTAGCTAAAGTTCTGGGAACGTTCCCTGTTAGCTGGGAATGAGACATACATCAGGCCCAATGCCAGCGAGCGGCATGCATCAGCTACAAATGAGGTCTCAAAGTCCGCACTTAATATATGTGAAAATATATATCAAATATGGACACAGTGTATCAGCGAAAAGGAACAGCGACTGCAAGTCAAAGCTCCCTGACAGGGACAGATGGACAGAATAATGTAGTCGCTATACACCAGAAAAGCAGTCTGAAAATTTACTGAAAAAATGAGTCAACAAAAGCTGTGCGTCATGACCCTGACAAAGCTGTGATTCATGGCCTGTCCATTCGCATCTCAGGCCAATGCAGAGAAACATGCCCTGTGATACGAGCACAAACACCAGACAAAGTAACAATCTGTAATAAGATCTTACAGTCGTTTTATGGACATCGGGATGAAGTCAAATTCCATGCCTGGCCTCACTATTCATTACATTTAATGACCAAGGAACCTTTCTGGGCAGCACTGATGTGTTTAGTACACAGCTGATCTCCACCTCCTTCATCTCTCAAAAAACTGGGGGCTTTTCATCTTGATTTATGGCCCAGTACCTCAGTACACACTGCTTGGAAATGTGCAGCAGCTTTCAAAGACTGACGTTCTCCCAAAGGTAAATGTACAGTTACTCCTCATTAGGCCCTGTGTGTCCCAGCTGGGAGCGGTTCTACACCATGTGTTTGACTTGCCTCTACAAACTACAAAAGGTTCCCCTCTGAAATTGCTTAGTACCTGTACACCTTATAAATATAGACCAGTGACACTGACATCCCATATAATACCGATATTTAAGAATATGCTCCTCCAACATGCCAGACATGGAAGACGCCCTGTTTCCAAACCAGGCACACATAAATGTGGAATATGCCATCATACACCTGCTCCATAGAGCCAACTCGTTCATGGACTTTGTGATGGCCAAATGAAGCCTCACAAACCATTTGCAGTACTTTCTGACTCCACTAGATGGTGCTCTCTGATCAAAAAAAGAGCACAAAGCATGCCCCAATGCAAACCAAGAGCGCCATCTAGTGGGATCAGAAAATACAGCAAATGGTTCATGAGGCTTCATTTGGCCATCACTACCTGGACCAGTGAAGTAACATCGTGAGGATTCTCTTTGACTTCTGTACTGCCTTACTTTCCGAAAAAGGAGCTCGATGTGATGCAGGCTAAACCATGGCTCTCTGGATCACAGATTAACTCACAAACAGGCTGCACGGACACCCTAAGACAGCGACAGTACGGCCATCTTCTATGGTGATTTTGTGGCTGCAGGGTGTAGGAGCCTGGTGGTATGTTTTGATGGAGTGGGTAAGAAGGACCAGAAGAGGCTTGATGGTGGAATGATGAAGGAGCTGGTGGTGGACTGCAGGCGGAGCTGTGAGCTGCCGACTAGTCAGGATCCTAGGAAAGAGCGTCGAAACAGTGTTACAGGTACCTCCTACACCAACGGCAGGCTGGATCGGCACAAAAACATTAAGCGAGTAACCAGGAAAGAGCAGAGGAAGCTGCTTTTCTGAAGCCCTTTGGTGCCACTAAATATTGATCAGTCTGTCACATTGATCAGTTCTTTGTGCTGGGGGATACAAGACGTAGGACAGGGATTCTCCGAGAGTTTGGTCAAAGGTCCACGTCAGATTTCTCTTCAAAGTCAGAGATCCAGAACAAATTTCAATAAGAAAACAGCATATAATGAACTTTAATGAATGAACAATAACCTTCGATACAGACATTAATATATAACAATAATGGGGACCTTTTAATGTTCGCTCATCGTTGTGATTCTCTGTCATGGGGGGGGGGGGGGTTGATGAGTTATGTGTGTGCGAAGGTTGGAGGTTCTACATTGTATTTTTGAACTTCAAACCACTTGAAGCCTCTTCACATTAATTTACATGAACCATTTTGATTCATAAGGACTATTATCGGTTGGGTCTGGACAAACTTGCAGTTCGGTCCACATCCGGTCTGGACTTTGAGAACCCCTGATGTAGGAGGATATTCAGCAGGCTGGACAATCTTCTGGGGGGCACTAGCTCAGTCACGGGGCTGAGTCTGCACTCCATGGTGGAGCTGATGCAGAGAGACATGGTGTCCAAGCTGAATAATCAAGCTTTGACTCATCACTCTACTCTTTCAGCTGCACTGAATTACCAACCTTCCATTCTTGAAAGGGTGTGCTTCTGCATGTTGAACCACCTGCACTGTACTTCACACTTTGTTCTCATTTTTATTAATTTCTTGGGGGGGGGGGTATTTTTAATGCTGCTGCACAACAAATATTACCTCCTGCAGAGCAATCAATTAAAGTTGTCATGTCATTGTATTCTTTCCTATTACTGTTTCCATGATGTGCACCTTTGGCATAGTAACTACTTTTTGTAAATTAAAGTTGGATTCAGTAAATGCCAGCTTGTCATTTTAGGCAGCCCTTGGAAAGACATGAAATCCAATACGAGTTACTCTTATCGTCTTTTCATAATGTCACTTTCTGTTATTTGCTGTTTGTCTGTTACTCCGGGCAACCTCCGAGGCACAGAGAGGAAATGAACATTAGCCCAGGTGCTTAATGCTAACCTCAGTCCAGATGGGATTAAGGCGACGTGTCCGTTTAGCGACTGGGAAACTCCCTTAGCGGATGCAACGCTGCTGTAGTTCCGAATGCGTCAGATCCTTTAAAACAACTCTCCCGTGTTTGAAGTCCGTTCCTTGTCTTGGTGTGATGTTTCAGGTGACGTACGGATACAGTGTAAGATGCCCGGAGCTATGCGGCAACAAGAGTTCACATAAAATATCAGACAGGTCATAATGCAACAATCCAACAATTATCACGATACTGTAATGGTGGGACGCTGAGCCATGCTCTCAATAATAAATGTGGGCACGCACACATACACACACACACCACGTACAACAATAAACATTAACCACTATACATGACATAGCACACAGCACATTTACAACGACACAAGCGATTACTGCGAACTATTTACAACTGGCATCAGTCCAACATACCGCGCTGTCTGCCAGTACCTCTGCGCTACAATACAATCAATAATTATATTATCAAATGAAGTCATTCTTTACGTACTAATTATGCACGTACATTCTGTATTAATAACCAGTCATTTGTAATATAATTATTTGTAATTTGTTATGCATTTGGTTTGAATAGACAGACGGAACAGGTTACTTCGACAGTAAAGCATCTTACCCTGCAGCGGCAGGATTTGGCGTCAGACTTGGCAGGATGTCGTGGGTGTGGTTCGGGCGACAAGACCTGACACTATTACAGGCGAGTTAAACGTCTGCGAAAGAGATAACCAGCATTTCGCGGTACAACAGCATCGTCCGGGTGAGGACCGCTGTGAACAGGCAGGAGGAGCTCAATGAGCGTTACACAGATTAATTTTGACATTAAATCACTTTGCTATATCTGGGGGCATAACATTACAAACTGCAGTGCAAGCAGAGTTTAAGCCCTCAAGGTTAGCATCACATATCAGCAACGTCATGTGACATAACCACCATAACCAGCGTGAGGAGGTCACGTCTCACACCTGGACCTCACGGAGACCCGGGTTCAGACACCCTGAGCACTCTTCAGACTGCAGCATGTCGTAGGAATAGAGGTGTCGCAGAATACGGGAAGCTCGTTTCCATGCAATGATTCCGATACGAAGAGGCCATGTGCGGGAGCTCAAGGTCACTGCGCTTCCTACCCGTACATAATCCCAATTAACACGCTCAGGCCCACGCAGGAAAATCGTGGGACATGAATGCCTTGTCCACACGTACACGGGTATATTTTAAAACGGTGTTTTTCCTCCTCCGTTTTAAAAAAAAATCCCCGTCCACACGAACATTGTCTTCTAAAAAATTTCCGTCCACATGAAACCGCTGAAATGCTCTTGTTCAAATATGATATCCTTGCTAACGCTACCATTTTTTCCTGTTCATTTCCCGTTTAATTTAAAAATTTTCAAATAAATCAGTAAGTAATATTTGTGTATTAATGCTAAACGACACATGGAGAATGGTATTAATATGGTGTACAGAATGGCATGCACTAGGGCGTCAGTTACATTATCAGTTTGCTGTTCTTGCGCAGTTCTCTAATGAAAATTTTCACCTTAAGCTGGAAACAAACTAAAACACTCCCCAAAAATGAAGATAAAAGACTGGGTTTTTGTCGGGTTCTGAGACTATTATGCATATAGTGCCCTTTCACACCTCTTGACCCCGGCCTACAACTTATGTTTCATAAGTAATCCGAGTGATTACTGAGTGATTACTGAGTGATTACTGTACCGTAGAGCGCCTCAGTCAAAAGCCACTGTCAGCGAACACTTGCAGGCTAGGGCCCAAGATGGGGGGGGGGACAAGCTGGCTGGCATTTCATCAGGATGAGGCGTACGATTGGATAACTGGATGCAGGGGATTAGAGAGAGCGGGGTTTATAAAAAGCAGAGACGCCGAATAATCTCCACCCGCTGTCCAGTGAGTCTCTGTCCTGCACCTCCATCACTCGTCCTCAGGGGAGACAGGGGTTGCCTGGAAGACGTGGATAAAGCAGGTAAGAACCGCTTCTTTCCTGTTACCTGTGGAGGGTTTGGGCCACTGGGACACGCACAGGCCCTGTGGCTACCTGTCCAGTTTACGGTGGGCGCTGTGCTGCAGTGTATGCAGAATTGCATTCGTAAATACATTCCCAATACAGAAATTCTATGCTGATGTTTGCATGGCTTCCATTACAAGATTAGGGTGAACTGGGAGCATTGTCACTGCAGAGATACATGAGATAAAGGTACCTACTGCATGATTCCATCCAGTATTACGGCGTGTCTGTGTAGAGTGGCCTAAGGCTATGTTGCCATGACGATGACCCTCAGCCAAAGTGTGCCGGGGGACGAGTCAAGGCAAGGAGGAGAGACAGAGCTCAGGGCTGAAGGAATGTGGGTCAGGGTGGCTCTCAGCGTAGAGGAGAAAGACCGCAGGCGTCACAAAAGGCAGTGAGCACTGGCGCTGTTTTCCACGCCTCAGGATGTGCTCTGTGAGCCTTACTGTCAAGGGACTGCTGGGTGCCCCAATTCCACCCAAAAAAACCCAACAAAAGCCAATCCAAAATAACACAGGAATGACGTAATGACTTATACCCTCTCAGGTAGATTAACCAGCTTAAAGAGAGCTTATGATTCTGGTTGGGGTGGGGAGGGGGGTAAACTGGCTGTAAGCGCGGAGGATGACGACAGAGGAAAGGCGCAACTCATATGTGCAGAAAAAAAGAGGAAGGAAACACATGGCTGGAAAAACTGGTAAGAGGATGAGGACATAACAAGCAGATTGAGGAGGGATTACCAGGCCGGCGCTGCACTGCGAGGTCACTGGAATTAACCAGCATTACCAGCAGGTTGTGATCCTGTAACAGCATTTCCAGCTCAGGCCTTGAGCACTAGCTGGCAAACGGCACGGGACAAAGCTTGAAGATTAAGCCAAATGCTGTCTCTCGCAACGGGTCTGGCAGACAGCGGGCTGCATGGAAGGGCCTCCCCCTCCCCCTCCCCCCCCCCCCCCCCCCCC